AACCTCCTATCAACCTAGATAGGGTCTATATCTATTTAATCATTCATAGCTAAATCAAGACATAAAGCTTATGTATCACAATCCATGCAAAGCCATGCATTTATATAAATGTATAATTAACTAATACCAGCCGGTATTAATTAATCCATTATCCATCGGTCAACGTTTCGTTGACCGTCATTTCAAGCCTTGTACGTATCAACTTAATCATCATATAATTAAGTTAATAATATTCATTTGTGCTTCACTTACACTTCAAGCAAATATGAATTTTATATAATTCATCATATCATATTTCATGCATAAACAATTAATTCCTTTCATACAAACTTAACCATGTTGGCTAATCACATGTTTAAATACCTTTTAAACATAATTATGAACACATATAACATTTATTTAGGTAATCTCATAATTAAACCAAAAGTTATAAGATATTAAGCCGTTCACTCACCTTAAATGAGCTATAGCATGTTCTACGCTCCTCGGTTGAACTCCGGCGAACTCTAGAAACACCTTAGTTAAGCTCCTAACATGGTTTTATCACCACAAAACTCATATCAATACAAATAACTTCTAAGTCCGTTCTTGGACTTGAACTACCTTCCAACCCCTCATTCTGCACTTCTAAACATGTAGAACAATCCTAGGGTCTCCTCATATGATGTATTAGTCATATGATAATAAAAATGCGGAAAAAAATTACTTAAACATCTTCTCACCTCTATTACCAAGGCTTTTCTCTACTTTTGCGATTTCTTCTCTTTCCTTGAGCTTCTTGCTTGCTAGAGCTCTCCTCAACAATGGAGAATGATGGCCGGAGAGGTTCTTGCTCTTAATTGGGGTGGGCTCGTCGAAATGATGAAAGGAGAGAGAGGAGGGTTGCATTTTGTCTCAATGGTAAGGATGGTGTGTGGGAGGAGACCCACCCCCTTTTTGTTTGATACCTTTTATTTCATTTCACACATCCCTCCCCATGTTCACACACTACACCAACCGGCCAACTCCCTGATTTGTGTGATCAAATTTATGGGATGGCCCCCACATGTGTGGGAGGTCATCCCTTTAAACCCCGAACTGAATATTCGGCCCCAAAAGTTGTATTTCTCGAACCGTTTTAATTATATTTTATTTTATCGGGTCAAATAAAATATAACACATGTTCCTACCCATTGTAGGCCTTTAGAATGGATGTACAATCCCCAACTTTAATTTAGAAGTCCCCGAAATCCCTTTCGGATTGTTATCCGATAAATTACCAATATCGGTAATTGGGCCTCGTTCGACCGACGGGTCAACCCTATACCCTTTCCATGGCCAACTAAAATATCCACCACCATATAAATATTATCTAGGCTAAGATGAATATAATATGTGGTCCCGGGATTATCGGGTGGTCCCCGCTCCCGGTGCGGGCCCCACGTGCAATTCACTATTCACGCAAAAGTAGTAACAAAAATTTTACAACCTCTTAATTTCATAAATCATTATTCAAGGTTCATTACATGGTTTACTAAAAGTAAATATACTTGGGGACGGTGTTACAGCCCCTGCTTGTGATATATAAATTCGGCTAGGCATAGGATTTTAGAATCGGGAACGAAAAAATGACCGGAACCGAACCGATATAGTACGGTTCGATTCGGTTCCTATTTATGGTGTTAACAAAATTATCGGTTCGATTCCTATTTTATAATATCGATTCGGTTCCCGGTTTGTTAAAAATATTTTGACGTAGAACCGATATGGAACCATTTGTTTAAGTCTGAATATGTAAAAAATTCACCAAACACCCCTTTATTTGGTGGCTAAACTGCCTGATTTTTTTGCTGAATTCGTTAACCTGATGTATCTGTCCTCCTTTTATTCTCTTTTACGCACAACTGCACAAGTCAGCTTCCTGCGGCTCCCAGATGCGTACATTCTTCTTGTGACTTCATCCCAGATGCGTTGATTCATCTTGCTCGGCTGTTCCTGATTCATCCAAAGGTAAGTATTGATTTCGTCTTCATCTCAATATTAACATTCCTTTCTAAACTTTCTTAGGTTTACCGACTGAAATTTCTATCCTTTGGGGTTTCATTGGGTGTCATCGTTCGAAGTAGGTCGATTTGGTCTTATGATCTGCCAAGAGTTTTTATTTTGTTTTGTATGTGGCTTGGACATTTTAGACATGCTGAATTTCGAATTTATTTCGGGTTTTAGCTCACTGGTGATTTTTGTTGATATTAAAAATTATGAATTTTAAATACTTGCTGTAAAGTGATATCATAAAGCAATTAAAATAAGGTTAGTAGGCAAAACAGGATAATAGATTTACTTCTTATTGTTCTGTCTCGGTTGGTCGGTTGATCCAGGAATCACAGATTGCCTTAACGCCTTTCTTCAAACTGTTTGGTTGTTCATCTCGTTGGTCAGCTATTCTGCTTTTAAAGAGCTGAAGCTAAAATTATCGAAACAAAGGCAACCAATTTGTCATAAATATCTGAACCATAATTATTTAGATAGGAAATTTATATTGATTTCTATATTAATTAAGTTCTTCCATATCTTATTATTTTTCATTTAAATGAGAGCTATGGAAGCCTTCAAATACACCTCACAAATTTCTCTGTAGCTAGTGTTCTTTAACACTCATGTGAAGGTGTGAAACTAAACATACAGTGTATAGCACCTTGTCCATTGCTTGGTTAAAACTTCAACCAAATCAGGGGTGGACTTGTTTATTCATATATTTATTTTTTTGGCTGAACAAGGGGTAAGGGGTGAGTTGGTTGTAGTCATGTATATTAAAGAAGGATGATAAAATGCAAGAACAAGTAATCTTGGCTATGGTTTCTATATAATCTTCTACACACAAACTGGTTTCATCACTTCCATGCATTTGAAGTGTTAGTTCCTGCCAATTCTATAATTCAAGCAAAATGAATTAGTATGTTCCTGCCATATTCTAATTTTATGTCTGATTTTTTATTTATTTATTTATTTACATGTGAGCTTTTAATAGTTAATAAAAAGTGTAATTTTTTAAATTAGTTTACTCATATTAGTAAAACAGATTTACTAGCAAAGCTAACTCACATGTATTTAACATACAAAGAAACAAATACCCTTTTTGGTAAATATACATTCAATCAGCCACTTCAGCCAAGAGTCCAAGACATTACCAAACATTTTCACTTCAGCATTTTCAGTCATTTCAGCAATTTCAGCAGTTTCAGCTGTCACAGCTGCTACCAAACAAGCCCTAAATCTTATTACATACAGAGTAATAGTTAGACAACTAATGTGGTGGGTCATTCCACTTATCCATATTCCGTAAATCCACGTAGCCCATTAGACAACCAAAAGGCCTCTTCAACTCTTTGCCCAGTAGCCTGCTCACTACACATAGCATTAGGAGGAAAAACCTAGCCTCTTTGCTGATCTGCTAATTTGCTCTTTCAAATTCTCTCTTATCAAAGTCTTGCCTTGCCTTCTTGTTCCGGTAATCAACGTTTCTTCTGGTGTGAGATCTCCTATCAAGATTGAAGTTCGTTTTGGTTTACTTGCTCGGTGCTCCCTCCCGTCAAGGGCGAAGAGAAGGTAAGGCCAAGATATGTGAATTACCTTAATTACAAGCTATCTAACTTCTTCATTACTCTGTTAAATCATTATAATTTTTGTTTTTCCATATGTTAATTTTCTATTTTATCTTTCCTACAAAAACAACTTCTATCAGGCTCTCAGCCGTATATTGCTTTTTTTTCCTAATATTTCATATTGTTAAGCTTTGGCTTATGAATAGGTATTTTTGGATTAAGTTTTTTTGTTATGGTGTAGATGCATGGTCGTATTCAGAAGCTCAGTTTTGGAATTTTCATATTTTGATTTAGTTACAGATGGAATATTTATGAGCTGATTTTAATTTTTGCTTGGGGTTGTGAATTATGGGATGATTGATTCCATTTCAGTAAAGTAAATAACAATGGTATTTGTGTTTGTTAGTGTTGTTCTTATTCCAGATAATACCTTATTTTTATGCAAGAATTGAATCAACTTGGTCTAAAAAGCTGGAAGTTTTCCTTCGAACTAAATCGTAGTAGAATCAAACAGCTTTTGTAAAGTAAGAAGGCTATCAATTTTTAACTTTAGTAAAAGGGTTATTGTATTTTTAGGAACCGATGATAAGCAAAGACCAAACCGTTAGGATTTGATTAGGTTCCTTGACGGTTCTACAAATTTTTTACTAGAACCGAACCAATATTAAGAGTTACTTATTTCTCAACGTTTCCACCAAATTTGAATAAGAACCGAACCGGTCTCAGGCCTAAATTCGGCGCATTAGCCCATGTGATTTTAAAAATGCGTCGACCCCCGTGTTATAATTATTTATGCGTAGACCCCCCTTCAAGTACAACTTTAACAATTTCAAAATCACTTAACTTAATATAATCATTGAATATGCTATTAAATTCAAGAAGATCTCTAAATTCTATAAAATACTAATCATATTTTATTTTTTTGGCAATTAAATTTTCTCTTGGAGGGGTTTTTACGCATGAATAATTATAACCAAATTTATATATCACAAGGGGGTTTGGTACATTAAACCCTTATTTTTATTTTTTAAATAATTTAGAGATCTTGTAAAATTTAATAGTATATTTAATCATAATACTCTGCATTATGATTTTGAATTGTTAATTTTTTTTGAAGGGGGTTTTGCGCATTAATAATTATTCCGCCAAACACAAGGGATTTGATGCATTTTTTAAATCGTAGTGGGCTAATGCGCCGAATTTATATATTACAAGGGGGTTTGGTCCCTTGGTGCACCAAACTTATACATATTACATACGTAAGTTTGAGATATTTATCGTACACGCCATTGAAATTTGAAATATTTAAATTATTTTCGAAACATAAAATTTGGACAATTGTCTATTCAACCAGGCCATGCTTGGATAGCCCTAAGTCCTACAAACTCTACACATCTAACACTCTTCTGTTAGTTTCAGCTAAACAATCAGCCACAAAGTCCAACATCTCTACCAAATGTTCATCCGGCGTCCTCTATCTCTTCAATCCCTAGGGAACGGCGTATTCAACCAGATTTATCAGATCTTCAGACCAAGATCTAATGGGCCTCTAAATGCTCTCTTCTGCAGTTCCAGCTTCTCTGAGCCGCCTCCCATGCCTCCCCCTGAGAACACAGGCCCATTCTCAGGCAAACTTCTTATGTTACTCTTTAACTTCTAAATGCATGCTTATATGCTTATCATGTATATATCTGGATATATTCTCTTGTTTTATTAACCTGTTTTTCAATTTTATTAATTATTGAATTTCTTTTTTGTTTTCATTCCAAATATATTTTGCTGTTGGAATAAACCTTATTCTGTATTATGCACTGAATTTTGACTTGAATTTTTTGGGAAAATGTTGCTTAAAATGCAGCAAGGGCAGTTAAATTAATTCTAATGTCCTTGATGTTTTAGTACGGAGTATTAAGTTTCTACATGTGCTCCTTACACATCTACCAGATTCGTGGTGTCTGAGTCTTGAGTGTATTGTGAGAGCTACTGAAACAATATGTAGTATCACTAATAACATCCTAGGACTCTAGGAGACATTAGGAAGATCCGTACCAGGCTCTGTAAATTCAGTGTAGGCCTGTAGGGGGCAATATTTTGTGCATATCTGTCTTTATATCTGATGGAATATTTTCATTTACCTAGCAATTATTATTTCTTATGGAGCATTTTCTTTATTTATTACAAGTACAGTTTTTAGTACTACCTTAGAAGTGAGTTATTCTTAAGAGAAGGCATGTAGCCTCACGTAAGGTGAAATAAGATGAAGTTATAACTTCTGTTGTATTGATAGTATATGTTCGTATGTATTACAAAGTGAGGCTAAGTCTATAAATAACAAACTGACATAACAACTTGGCTACCTTCTGAAGGAAAGCAATTAAGGATGTTTTTACTTGGACTGTAATTTGCTGGTCTGGTCTGGTCTGAACGGGTCTGGTCTGAACTGGTCTGGTCTGGTTTCTTTGTATTTTTATAACTATCCAGGTCTGGTCTGAACTGGTCTGGTCTGATCTGGGATGAATTACAGTCCAAGTAAAAACATCCTAAGAGTATTCCTATCAGAAATGATATGCCAATAATATCATACTATGATATACTATTTTTATAATATATTATTTACCCCCGTACTAAAGCACGCGGAGGCTGTTTTCGGATAACTCATGATGAAAATCGCGTCAAAATTTGCATGGACAGACTGCTTCTTCATAACCAGGAAACACAGACAGTTTAGTGAGTCATTTTGCTTTATTCCATCATATTCCCAAGCCAAAATATAGTGAGTCTTTGGCTCCATTGGAAATGATGGTAAAAATATTCACGATTTGAACCGTCGTAGGAACATAGCTAAGGGCTATAAGACTGTCTTTGATAACATCCCAAAATAAATGACAGTCAACTTCAATATGTTAGTTCGTTCGTGAAACATTGGATTACGAGCTATGTCACCTATGTGTGTGATCAACGCTGAGGCTAAGTAGTATATCTTTCTGCCATTTGAGCTTACATGTAGCATATTTGGCTCTAAAACAAATTTCTTAAGTATTGTACACATGACTTTGAGTTCCACTCACAGGATACAACCACTTCACAGTTTCTGAAGAATGTTCCAATCGCTGGTGTCTAGTATGCATAGAGTCAGTCCAGGTGCTAACTCCTACAACATGGATACGAGAGATGTCTTCAAAGTAGTCAAGTCCATTCCTCCTAGTACACGCTCCAATCTGCCTCCTCGAGTGTTGGTCCTCATTTTTCATTTTCATTTTCATTTACCCCAGTGCCGCAAAGGCTCCCACCTACGGTGGGGTAAGGGGGGGTCGGATGTACGCAGTCTTACCCCTGTACTAAAGCACAGAGAGACTGTTTCCGGATGACCCATAGTGAAAATCCCGTCCAAAATTGCATGGACTGGCTGCTGCTTCATAACAAAGAAGCGCAGACAGTTTAGTGTGCCGTTTTGCTTTATTCCATCATAATCTCAAGCATAGTAGTCAATGGCTAGATATGGCGCGCGCCATATGCGCTATCGCCGTGAAAAAGTGTTCATCGCCATAGCGCCATATGTGCTTTATGCGCCATTCGTATATGCGCCATTGCCATGCGCCATGAAAAATGCCTTTGAGCCATGGCAATCGCCATGCGCCATGACTACTATGATCTCAAGCCAAAAAATAATGAATCTTTGGCTCTATTGCAAATGATGGAAAATCCTCGAGTGTTGGTTCTGAATAGCACAAATGTTAGAAGTAGAAGTAACTTGGACAAAACAATTAAGATCCTCAGTAAGTTGGGAAACAGAAATAAGATTGCAATTTAATTTTGGGACATAGCACGTTAGTCAAGTGCATTGTATCTCACTATCGAACTGATCCCTCTTTGGTAGCCAGAACTTTCTGTTTGTCCGGATTTCCTACCGAACACACATCAATTTCTGTTATATCATTCAAACAATTAACATTTGCAGTCACGTGATTCGATGCTCCGGTATCAATTATCCAGAACAAAACATTAAACTTACCATCCAACTTACCAGATCACTAGTGGGATGTGATTTACCAAATGCTGCCACAAGGGCTTTTCACGGTTTAGAGGAGAAACCTGGAAGAGTCTGGACTTCAGCCCGTTCTAAATGTCCAGGTGTGTGCGTGCCCATCAGCAAGGTCTTCGAGCTGAAGAAGAACCGCTGCTGTCCACTGTTGTTGCAGGTGCTCTAAATCCTCCATGACTTCTTCTGCCTCTCCCGGCGATTCCCCTGCTGTGTCCACTGTTCTTATTTTCTGGTGATAGGGACCCACCTATTGACTAATAAATAGACTAGTAGCTATTAGTTAAAATGCTGTAATAGATATTAAATAAAGTCAGTTGCTGGACTGCTATAAATAGAAGGTAGGCTGGGAAGGGAAGAGGACTTTTGGATTCTTTGTCTTGGGACTTGGGAAGACTGAGACTAATAATCTCTTTCTTTGGGAGCTTAGGCTTTTGGGGGCTTCGGCCATAGTTTCTTGTTAGGTTCTTGATTCAATAAAGCTTTGAATTGTTCTTGATAAATTTCTGTGATTTCCATTGAACTTCTGGAGGATTCTATCATTGGTATCAGAGACGTCAATCGCTGAGATAACCACGCCTGAAAATGGAGGGACGACTCACTGAAGTGGAGAGGAATCAGCGTGAAATGCAAGCTAGGATGGCGAATATAGCGGCTAATATGGCCGTGATGCAAGCGGCGATGCAAGCTAGCATCGCAGAATTGCAGAACCGACTTCAAAGTCGTTCGCGACATACATCGCACCATTCTCACCCTTCGCATAGGTCGCACCATACTTCGCACAAGGGAAACCCAAGAAATTCCGACCACGGAGAGCATGGCAACAGCGAACTTCGAGCGAGGAGCCCTAGACATCGTTCGTCGCAGTCGCTCACAAGTTCGCAGGCTGAGTCGCGAACTACTTCTCTTGACTCGCAATCACGAACTTCTTGTCACTGTTCACAGTCGCAAACAGTTTCTTTCAGTTCGCAGACTTCCTCACCAGCCATCCATTCACTTCCAAGAAAGACGCGAGTGAGAGGTGAATATTCCTCCTCGCCAATCCATTATCACTGTTCGCGTTCTTCGTATGACGTCGCTCCTCCAAGTTCACAAGCAATTTCTTCAGGACCTCTGGTTTCTAGGAAAACAGAAGACCCCATTTCGCAATATCCCTCTGAGTCCCCTGAATTGCTTCAGGAGTTGACTAATCAGCAGAATGGTGACAAGAAAAACAAGAAGAAATCATCAGATAACTTTGAACATGAAGCTGATGCCGTTGCTGAACTCACCAGAGGTTGTCAGTCATCAAAGATTACGTTAGAAGGAATGAACACTTCTGATAGCCTTAGAGTGGAAAGGGTTACTTCTAGGAAGAATTTTCAAAAAGAATTGGTGAATGATGTGTCTATGGACAAGTATGTTGCTGATTCTGACAGCCAGGATCAAGTTATTGGGGATAAAAAGGGGGTAAAAGTCCAGAGTATCTTAGCAGGGCAGTTGGGAAAGAATGATCCACAGATTTGTGCATTTGAAGGATCGGTCTTCATTCACTCCAATGTCAATTCTGGGATGGGAGTTAAGGACTGCAGTTTGACACTTTATGCAAATTGGGACTCCTGTAATTATAGATTGAAAGGGGCTGATGAATTTACTTTTGAATATCAGTTGGATAAAATCAGTGTGGTCCTGGATCTTAATACTCAGAGTATGGTCGTGGGATTGGAAGCTGAAGCAAATTTTCAACCTTACAAGATGATCTTAGGCTCCAATGATCCAGAACTGAACTGTTTGACGTGTGCTCTTGTAAGAGAAACCAAGCTAAATGAAGATGTTGGAATTATAGAAGTGGAACCCTACTTGATAGGAAGAATAGTTATAGCTATACCTCAATATCAATGTGCTGGTTATCAAAGTGCAGCTCTTTCCTTGCTTGTCAATACCCCAGTATGCATCCGGCAGTACATGGCATCAGGATCCAGATTGATTGTGGGAATTGTAAGCTGCCAGTTATCTTTGGAAGGGTTCATGATCCCGCAATCAGTTCGGTATTGGGAAGGAAGAGGTGCAAGAAAAAAGAAGCAGAAGACATTGGCTGTCTCCTACCGCCCACCTTGAGGGCAAGGTGGATGTTTAGGGGGGAGTATTGATAGGGACCCACCTATTGACTAATAAATAGACTAGTAGCTATTAGTTAAAATGCTGTAATAGATATTAAATAAAGTCAGTTGCTGGACTGCTATAAATAGAAGGTAGGCTGGGAAGGGAAGAGGACTTTTGGATTCTTTGTCTTGGGACTTGGGAAGACTGAGACTAATAATCTCTTTCTTTGGGAGCTTCGGCTTTGGGGGCTTCTGCCTTTGTACAGATTATTGTTCATCTTCTTGGATTCAATAAAGTTTTTGAATTGTTCTTGATAAATTTCTGTGATTTCCATTGAACTTCTGGAGGATTCTATCATTGGTATCAGAGACGTCGATCGCTGAGATAACCACGCCTGAAAATGGAGGGACGACTCACTGAAGTGGAGAGGAATCAGCGTGAAATGCAAGCTAGGATGGCGAATATAGCGGCTAATATGGCCGTGATGCAAGCGGCGATGCAAGCTAGCATCGCAGAATTGCAGAACCGACTTCAAAGTCGTTCGCGACATACATCGCACCATTCTATTCGTTATAGCTAATAACGAATAGTCAATAGTCTATTCGAATCAACTCGAAATGTCAATAGTCAATAGTCTAATAACGACATACATCGCACCATTCTATTCGTTATAGCTAATAACGAATAGTCAATAGTCAATAGTCCCTATAACTAATAACTAAGGTCGGTCGTCGTACCACTCTGGGTAGCCAATAATTTCGAATCAAGTCGAAATGTCATAGCCTGAGTCAAGGTTTAAAAAGGCGGGTTCAGGTTTCAAGGTAGTTTGCTCTTAAGAGGCGAGGCGTAAGCCTTGAGGCGTAAGCCTAAAAAAATACAGACATATAAAACTTGATATAATTAAACTAGTAACAAACAACTCAAGAAGTAAAGGATATCCATAATTATAAGTCCAAAAAGTGTGAGACACAAATACATGTGACCTATTACCAGTAAGTCACTGGGCTTCAAACACACAAAAAGAAACATCTCACAAAAACAGACACATCACAGTCTCACAAACTCACAGAAACAACCCACACAAATTTCATCACCAAGGCCTTCAGAACTACTAGGTGTAGCAGTAGAAGCATGCCATCTTTTCTTTGAACCTCTCACCATTAAACTAAATCTACACAGAAGTATTATTAATGACATGACTAAGGAAGCAAAGTAAATCCTTTACCAATTAGAAAACATGAACAACAGTTTTGTAAAAGAATGATAAGAAGCATTGAAGGAGAAGAAGAACAACAGTTCTGTAAGAGAAGGATAAAAAGCAGTGAAGGAGAAGAAATGAAGGAAAGGAGTTGAATAAGAATAGGAGAGAGAAGGGGATGGAGAAGAAAAGTTACCTGGAAGCTTTTGCGCTGTTGTAAGGAGATGTCGCAGGAGAACAGAGATTTCTTTGCGTAGGTGAATAGAAAGTATACGTTAAGGTTCAAATCCTTCAAATCCTTATCAGGATTTGAATGAAATAAGACTTGTTAGGGTTTAGTATATGGGCTTCTATTTAGAAAGAACTCTGGGCTTTTTATTAAATGAAATACTTGGGCCTGTTTTAAGTCACTGCGCAAGTGTTCAAGGCGTGCGCCTCAACAAACGCCTCAAGGCGTGCGCCTCAATCTATGCGAACCAGTACGCCTTGATACCCAACCAGTACGCCTCAGCTTGAGGCGCGCCTCAGAACCCGCCTCATAAGTGCCTTTTTAAACCATGGCCTGAGTATTTGCAATGTCCACACACAAGCCCATGTTTATCCGATTTCCCTACCTTCGTCTTGTGTCGTCCGTCAGTGCGAACAGGAAAACCCATGAGCTCTGTCTTATCCTCCCGATTTTCACCCTTTCCTCTAACCTGTTCCTCCTGGCAGACTTGTTGATAGACGCGAGTCACGGATGGGAGAGGTGTCTGGGTGAGGAGCTGGGATCGTATAGAGTCGTAGTGCTCCGGATACAGATCCATGAGGAATTGGTGAAGATGTTCATTCTGATGATAAGAGCAATTTCTGCATTTACAGGTAATAGGTGGTTCCAATTTGTTCAAATCATCCCAAAGTGTCTTGAATATTCCATAGTACATGCCTATAGCCATCCCCTTCAACTGCTCAGCTGGGTCAACATTTCCTAGTGTACGGGTGGGCCGTCAACCATCAAAATCGTCCTTGAAGGTCCTTCCAAAGGTTATAGGCGTTTTCATAATTTGACAGGGTATGCTTTAATTCTAGAGCAATGGTATTCAAAATCTAGGAGACAAGCATCAAGTGGATCGTTGCCCAGTGTCTTTTGTACAAGGTGGTTTTGGTTCAAGGATGCTTCCGTCCACAACATCATAGAGTTTGACCATTCGTCGTAGTTTTTGCCGTTCACCCTTACAGGAGTAATGAAGTCTCACAGTTGGTCCTATTATCCCGAATCAGTCACGGCATCACCCTCCGCCATAACGGGAGTATCCTTCGTGTGTTACATAAGATGAAGTATTACACCTCTGTTGTGTTGATAGTACATGTTTGTATGTATTACAAAGTGAGGCTAAGTCTATAAATAACAAGCTTGCATAGCAGCTTAGCTACCTACGGAAGGAAAGTCATTAAGAGTATTCCTATTACAAATGATATGCCAATCATCATCATTACCCCAATGCCGCAAAGGCTCCCACCTTCGGTGGGGTAAGGGGGGTCAGATGTACGCAGTCTTACTCTTGTACTAAAGCACAAATAGACTGTTTCCGAGTGACCCATAGTGAAAATCACGTCAAAAATTGGTTGGACTGACTGCTGCTTCATTGCAAAGAAGCGCAGACATTTTAGTGAGCCATTTTGCTTTATTTCATCATATTTTCAAAGCAAAAAAATAGTGAGTCTTTTGTTCCATTACAAATGATATGCCAATAATAACTAAAATATACCATTTCCACAATATATTATTTCCATAATAAGGTGAGTCACATGTGGTTGTTTACTTCGTTTGTTTTGGGATAGGCGAAGACTTGTACAAAATCTATGCACGAAACTTAACCATCGTGTCTCATAAATTTTGCTTGTGCTTGAATCATGCTTCAAGATACTGAAGATAGTGGATATTAGGGAGTGTTTGCAATTGCTTCAGCTTTTAAACAAATCACTTTTTAAAGTGATTTTGGAAAAAAGTGTTTAATAGTAAAAGTTGGTAGTGTTTGAAAAAAAAATTGATTCTGAAAAGTAAAAGTTGGCAGTGTTTGGTAAAATATGTGCTTTTTGTGCAATAGAAAAAGTAAAAAGCAGTTTCTAGCTTTTGGCTTTTAAGTGTTTAATTTAAGTAGAAGTTAGCGCTTCAAAACACTTTTTAAGCTTTTTTAAGGTAAAAGTTGAAAATCACTTTTTTTTTTAGTTTTTTGCGAACATACCCTTAATCTTATTAATGACTTCTTGTTCATGCTTGTCAAATTTCATGTTATACAAATCAGCAAATTTTTGTTTTTTTGTCAATTCTCGTTTCCTAATTTCCTTACCAATTACCACGAATGCCAGCGCAGTGTGTGCTCATCCATACATACATAAAGTCCACCGTCCCCTAGAAGAGAGCACCATGTTTGACGAGGCAGATTTTGAAAGTCAGAATCCTAATTGTTTATTCAAATAATTAATTTTTGCTTGACCTAAATTTATCGCATTGACCTTGTTTGTAACTTCCTTATCGGTAAACTATATAAAAAATTAGATCCGTGTAATGAAATATGACTCTTTTTTGGGGACAAAGTCTCTGTATTTGTGTTTTAATATGTCACCTTTTTTGAGAGAGTTTTTTTTTGAAGTATGGTATTTTTAGTGATTGAGAGTGTCAAAATATGGGTAAAACTCTACTTTTTGGGTGTGACACTATCACTTTAGGACCTGTTAACTCCTTGGGCTTTTTTCAGTCCCAAACCAGATCAGTCAAATAAAAATAATAATAAAACACTCATAATGTCAAATCAGACTTGAATTGATTATTGCATGCTAACTCATACTTTACAAGACCTATCCAGACCATTAAATTTCAGTCCAAATGAATAGGTCTGAAGTTGGACTCTCATTCATGCTCTTTTTTTTACTGCAATATGTTAAATTCTTCGGGCAGGTTTTGCTGAGAATAGAAAAAGCAACATGCCACCCAACAAGGGATTCACAGGTGTGGGACATGTTGGCTTGAGAAGCAGCGCAATACGCACTCTTTTTCCTACCGCTCCGACTGATACCGCAAATCAAAACGAAGCCGAGTTTGTAAGAAGATCAAAATCCATAGACTTTGTTAGGGAAATAATGGAAGGACATGGAAACAACCAAAACATCTCCCCTTTCGGTAGTGGGACCCGCAATTACCAAGTTGAGACAGATGCTGACATTGTCCATGTTAAAATTCTGCGCAACAACACTTTCATAACTGTCACTGATTCAAAAGGGAACAGAAAGTTTGGGGCTTCTGCTGGGAGTTTGGCACCGGGCGGGAAAGTGTCCAGGTTCGCTTCTGAGTCCACGGCGGAACATATCGGGCGGGAGGCAAGGAACCGTAACTTGAAGTCTGTGGTCATGAAAGTGAACGGGTTCACGTATTTCAAGAAGAAGAAGCAGTCGATTCTCAGCTTTAGAGAAGGATATAATCATTCTCGGGGAGATACAAACCCAGTTGTTTATATTGAGGATACAACACGGCTTCCACATAATGGATGCCGTCGCAAGAAGCAGCGCCGCATTTAATTTTTTTATTTACAGATGTTGACATCGGGAGATGCTGTATGTTATGATATTTTTTACTCTGCAAGATTTTGGCATTATGTTGCGTTATTATATACTCCGTAGCTTATTCAGTCTGGGCATGTATGTTTTTGCAGGATCGATGGATTAATTTTTTATACAGTTGTGTAATAAGATATGCTCTGTACAAAGATAGAGATGAAAGATGACTCAAGTTGATGCAATGTTATACGACTTCCATACGACCTTGGTGCTCCATAAGATGCATTCATTATTTACACCTCTTCTCTTGAATTGTTGAAATTGTATAATAGAGTACATAAGACGTGGGGAGCTATGTTCAATACAAACATAAAAAATGAATGTATATTTATTCATAATAATGCTATAGTGATGAGAGTTGACCCCAAACCCTTAGCAGCGTAGGAAGGAGTCTGGGGGTTGAGCGGGATTTTGCTTTTCTTCTTTATTTCAACCACCTGGGGAGTTCTATTTCCTCTTGTCTTTTGTTCTTATTGTGCGGTGCTATGGAAAAGATCAGGTACGAATGCGAATTATGCGATTATGACAACACGTCCATTTGATGAGGAGGAAGGGAGCAGTTTTGTTTTTGAACAGAAATTCATGGGGACAGGTGTGGCAGTGGGTGTAGGGCCGTAGGCCGTAGGGATGGACTGAACCGGGCTGAACCGGCCCGTGAACCGGACCGGCCCGCTACTGTGCCGGCCCAGATCGGACCGGACCGGGATCGGATGGCCGGTTCCGGGCTTTAGCCTGGTGTGGGCGGGCCTGGCGGGCCGGGCCCTATTTTTCTTGAACTGGCCCGGGCGGTTCGGACCGGGCTCTGTTCATTTTTTTTCAATTTTTTTTTCTTTTCCTTGGGTAGGGCTGGATGTTTTGGGGAGGTTTGAGGGGTGGGGGTGAGGGGGGGGGGGGGGGCGGGGGTTAATTATAACCAAAAAAATATACATTGGACCGGTCCGGCCCGGTTTGGCCCGGACCCGGTATCAACCCGGACCGGTTTTGGGCCCAACATCTTGAAAAAAAGCCCGGTTTGAATCGGCCCAGAGCCTGGCCCGGCCCGGCCCGGTCCATGTCTAAGTGGGTGAGACAAGGTTCTTGGATGTGGTTAAGGTTATCTCAGACAAATCTATTTGTTGAGACGATGACAATGGTTTGACGTCCACAAAAGGGAGTTAGTACAGAGGAGATATGTGATTGTTAGATTTTTATTGGAGTTAATCGTATGTTATATGCTATCTTTTATTTAGAGTCAAATATTAATGGTCTTATGGATATCAGTTTCGGTTGGCTAATATGTTGCCTTATAAAGTAGAATTCAAATGTGTAGAAACATATGTGTTTAATCCTAATTAATGATGGACTGATTAGAGCTAGCATGCTCTATAAATTCCTAACATCATGTAGATGAAACAGAAGTTAGGAAGCCTATCATACCGAAATCTATCAAGAACCAATTCTCTCTCTTGCCTAACCTTCATCTATATTTTGAGTTTAGATAACCTATTGTATTGTTTTTTAGTCTGAAAAATATTGGTTCATCTTAATGCTATCATCAATCATCATGATTAGTTTATTTTTTGTTTTTTGTTTTTTCTTATTTTTTGGTTTAGTCAAAACATTCTACTATTTTTGTATTTTTCATCTTATTTTTTGGTTTAAGTCTTGAAAATAGTGTTACTCCTTGATTTGTATTTTTGAAATGTATGAGTTCATTTTTGTATGATTGGTTGTTGTTCTCAAAATGTTTTAGAAAATAGAAAATTATTAAAAATCATCACTGTATAATTAGAAATTATCAAAGCATCTTTATGAAACACCTTTATATTTAATCATGGCCAAAATATTTGTCATACCATTACAATTAGTCAATTACCATTACCTCACCATTACAATACATGATCACACCACTACCTCATCATTATTATTACTATATCATGACCACAGACCACAAATTTTTTAAAAATTAGTAATTGAATTTAGCATGTAATTCTCCCAAGTTTAGCAAAGAAGAATATATGAGAAGCTTTAGTTATTGAAAAATGTAAAAACAAGTGAATCATAAAAGTTATGTACTGCTCATGAGCTTTGAAAATTACTTAGAAGGGCACAATCCAAAACAGTCTAGTATATTAGCAAAACTGTAATGTACCTGCGAGATTTCTAAACGGTTCGGTATGATTTGGTTCTAAGGTTAGAATCAGGCCATTCAGTACCATATTTGGTTTCAAATGGTACAAAATAGTAAAGTACAATGTAAAACTAATGCTAAAAATTTGGGAAAATCTTGCAATTAGTAGATTCCATCATATCGGTCACTTCACATGAAATGTGATGAAATATATAAAAAGAAAGAACGTACTGAATGATAGGGAAAAAATACTACGTATATTTTTATCTTTAAGTTCACAAATAGTGTAACATAACTACAGATAGGGGTGGACAGGTTCCGGATCGGGTCCGGTTCGGGCCTGGGCCCGGCCGGGCCTCGGTTCATGAAAGGGGAGGCCCGGAACCGGCCCGGGTAACCCCGGGTCCGGGCCGGGCCGGGTAACCCCGGGTCCGGGCCGGGCCGGGCCTCGGTTCTTACATTTTCTTTTTGGCTTTTCCTAATTAACCCCCAACCCTCCCCCCTCACCCCCAAACCACCTCAAATGCCCCATCATACCCAGCCCAACCCAAAAACTTAAAAAAATTCAAAAAAAAAAAAGAATTTTTTTTTGGCCCGGACCGCCTACCTCACCGGGCCGCCTACCTCACCGGGCCAGACCCAGGCCCGGCCCGCCTACCTCACCGGGCCGGGTGGCCCGAACCGGGCACCAACCGGTTCACCGGGCCGGTCCGGGTCCGCACAGTAGCGGGCCGGTCCGGTTCCGAGCCGGTTGGCCCGGCCCGAGTCCACTCCTAACTACAGAAAAGTATAGCAAAACAGTGATACACAAATTAAATAGACATCATCTTCATTACATTTACATGAAAACGTAAAAAGATAGATATCGTCAAATTGTTGAACATATTAGAAAAACCAATCATTTTATTTCTTTGTTTTAGGTTAGGATAATAATTTGGGAAAAGTACGGAAAAAGTATTTGTGGTTGGGGCCGTTTTCAAATAGGGTCATGTGTTTCATTCTTTATCAAATTAGTTCATGTGTTTGAATTCCGTTATCACAAGAGGGTCACGCCGTTAAAAACGTCTGAAAAAGACCGTTAAAAGTAAATCCGATTTTCAAAAGTGCCCGAAAAACTAAAAGAGAAATACCAAAAGGTGTGCCTCGTCAAGATGACCTCCAAACCACCTTCGCCTTTGGATTTTTCAGATCTGTTTGAATGATTTTTTAAAATTGATTTCGCTAATATCACTTTTCTGACGGACTTTCTGGTAACAAGGGTGGCTGAAAACAAAAAATAAAGATGATCTAGCGGTCGTCTTATTGAGGCACACCTTCCGGTATTTTTCTTTTAATTTTTCGAGCACTTTTGAAAATCAAAGTTACTTTGAATGGGTTTTTTCAGACGTTTTTAATGGTGTGACCCTCTTGTGATAACGGAATTTAAACACATGAACCACTTTGATAAAGAATGAAACACATGACCCTATCTAAAAACGGGCTCAACCACAAGTACCTTTTTCGTACTTTTCCCTAATAATTTTGTTCATAGTTGCACCATTGCTGGATGCTAAGATTTTAACCATATTAATTATGTTGTAAAAATACACAAATATATATAACAAAAGTCACGCTACAATACTACATCACTCGAAGTTTAAAGTTATTTTTTTAACTTTAAAATTCTTCTAATTACACCAAAATATAACATAAATTATCTAAAGGAATGAACACTATAAGTTATTTTAAGGACGAATAAAAACATACTTGGGCTTCTTTCGAAAAAATAACACACTTGTGCTATAAAATTCTTGGTCAGAACAAGAGATTTTTTAGATGGAAAATTACAAAAAATCTAGAACCCAATGACGAATAAAGTTTCAAACTGTACAATTTCGGTTCGGAAAAAAAGTACTCATTACGAGTTGGGAGTTTTCCCAAAAGTGGAGTTAATGGAGATGGGAATTCCAAAATAGGATTATTATGTTTTTATTCCCGAAATAGGACTAACATATGACATTATTCATTGTCATCTTGTAGGCGTGTCTACCAAATAGTTGCAGTACAGTGCATTTAACATGGTAGTATCTATTATAATTAATGATAATATTTTTCAATCATGACAGTATTTTTCATATATGGCGATAACAATGCATATTTCGGGAAGAAAAAATATAGTAGTTCTATTTTGTAATTCCAAACATCATTTACTCCTATTTAAGGCAGTTTCACTTCAGTGTGTTAGCAGATGACGAGTCACATTCTAGATTGGAAGGAGTTTATGATAGGTTTTTTTGAGGCATTAGTAGTAGACAAGACCGATCTAAATTAATATATTTGGGCATCAAATAAAATTGTTAATCAAACAACAATGTTTGTTTATAGGTCAACTTTACTTTTATTTTTGATCTATGAGCTAAACGTGAGAATATTTCTATTTTAATGATATCACTATGTCAGGTGCATACTAAGAGTTTTGCATAAATTTGATTGTCATGTATCTTAGATGATTTTAATTGGACTCATTTCCCGATCATATCAAATCAGATCATATTAGATATAAATATATTAGATTAGATTAGAAAATAGTAAATTAAAGTGCACATATAACATGTATCTATCACACCATGGGGGTGGGGAATTATACTCAAACTCCTCCCCTGCCCCTCCCCTATCTAGTATGTGTCAGATGCATATACCAAAACTGCCATGTTTTGTCTTAACATGTTAATATTTTATAAAATTGACAGTAATTATTCCTTTTTAGGAAATAAAAGCATGAAAGTCTATTATTCGAATTCTAAAGCAGTTCCTCTCATATTTAAAGAATTTCCCCTTTTATTTATTTTGGATTTGAAAACTTTAGAATTGTTTTTATTTTATTTTTTGTATTAAGTTTGATTGATGTTTTTAAAAAATTTCAGATTAATCAGTTGAATATGAGAATGCTATAATTACAATTTACTATTTAAAAAACTGATTTCAAAATAATCCTAGAGCGATAATCACCAGGCTCGGCTCTAAGTGGATTGAGTCCGCCAACGGAGAGTTGATCATATATTGTGATCTCGGCCTAGGCGCTGGGCCTCGGGCCTCTATGTAAGTTAACTATCCATCTTGAACTCTTCTTTTCTTTTTATCAAGTATTACATATTTAATTTTAAAATATCACTATATTTATTTGGCAATGCCATAATTTCATATGATGATTTTAATGTGAAAGTGCTATTATTTCATCTCAAAGTGCCTTGTTTTTACATGAAAATGTCATTATTAGTTTAACATGGAAATATGTCATTACTTTTATGAAGGTGACAATCTCTTCGGAGATCAACACCAGACAAGGAGGCCGACGCGCTAGAAGAGTCGACGGCGAGAAGAATGTGGGCCCCTAGTGGAGGATGTTACGCTCTAGAAGACGCGACAACACTAGATGAGTACTCTTCGGAAGGCGGTGACGGTGGAGGAGATGACAACATTGCTTGTGGAGGACCTGACTCCATCAGACGAGGACTCACCAGAGAGCAGTGTGACACCCCCGCCCCGTAGGGCCCGAGGTAGTTACTCTTGGATGCTATCTAGACTTCTAGTACTGTCCTCATAAACTAACCCAAGTCTTTACCACACACTTTGTCCTCATTCGTGCGCGTCATGAGAAACTTCCTAGACGACCATCCATCTCCTAACACAACATGCTTAACTTGGAGTCCTTAGCTGACAAATTCTCTTAAACGGAGATGTACCTTGATGATATAAGTAGTACTAACCGTAACTTAATCTAAAGTATTAGAAGCAATGTGGTGATAAAGGGTTGCAAGAGGGGCCTCATTCGAGGTTGGAGGCGATGATGGTAGATGAATTAGTAGTGGTGCATAGGGTTTTGGTGGCCGATGGATGGCTTTATGATTTATTCTTGTTTGTAATTTATTTGTTGTTATTTGTTATGAATGTAGTCTGATTTCACTAGTCACTAGATGTAAGTATGCAAATTCATTTCAGCGGCCTGTAACATCTGCGTTTTCCAAATTTTGGAAAACTAGTAAAAGTCACTTCTCCAAATCATTAAGGAAAAGAGAGACATGTCTCATTTTTTTCGTTTTGGAAAACGGTTTGGTAAACGCATTTTTCTGTTTTCCTTTATCCAGTTTTCCAATAATTTTCGTTGGTAAACACGTTTCCTGTTTTCTAATTTTCCAGCAGGAAAATTGAAAAATATCTCCTTTAGTAAAGAGACCCTTAACTTCTAAATACTCCTTAGTTTTTTATAAAAATAAAAAAAACTTCTAAATAGTTTCATTTTTGGCATATAAAAACATTCCTCCTTCTCACACTGTCAACCCACAGCCACTCTCATCTTATCAGAACTTCTTAGCGATGAAACTCCATAGCTCAGTCCTATTATCAGCTCTACTCTGCCTCACTTCACTCCAAATCTCCTCCGCCGTGCCGGCTCAGCCTCTTTATTCCTGCGGCCAGCACACAGAATCTTTCCGCTTCTGTCAAACCAACCTCTCCATCAGCTTCAGAGTGAAAGATCTCGTCTCTAGACTCACTCTTGACGAAAAGATTGCCCAGCTTGTTAGCTCCGCCCCGGCCATTCCGCGACTCGGAATCCCCGCCTTCGAGTGGTGGTCAGAGGCTCTGCACGGCGTCGCTGACGTCGGGAAGGGGATTTCGTTCGCTGGCAAGATCAAAGCCGCCACCAGCTTCCCCCAAGTCATTCTCACCGCCGCTTCGTTTGATGAACATCTTTGGTACCGCATTGGACAGGCAATTGCTTAAACTCAGCTCAAGCACTCTTATATTTAACTTCTCACTTTATTAGGCATCCATCTTTATTTAGGAGAATTAACTAGATTAGAAAAAAAAGATCAGACCAAATAAAATAATATTTTTTTAGTAATTTTAGAGAAAATGATTAATAGTAAAAATTATTAGTGTCTAAAAAAATGCTTTTTAAAAATTAAAAGTGGGTAGTGTTTGATAAAATAATTGATTTTTGTGTAATAGAAAAGTGAAGAGCACTATAAAACACCTTTCGACCTGCTTCCCGCTTTTAACTTTTAAGTGCTTAATTTAAGTAAAAACCGTCATTTGAAAACACTCATTTCAGTTGTCTTTAAAACAAAAGCGGAAAAACACTTTTTTTAATCTCTTGCAAACACTCCCTTAGATAGCTTCATTATACATAAAACAAACATTTTTAGAGTTAAAAATGTCTCATACCAAATTTGGTAAAGTTTGTGTGGCTCTAAATAATTCTTACTTTATTCTTACTTTATCAATTTAATATCAAACACATAAACCACTTTTTATTGATTTGCGTGTCAACCCCTTTTGTCCCATTGTTAGGAGGACGGAGAGAGTATATACATGTTTATAAATGTAAAAATATTTATAGCAGTATAAAATGTTGTGACAAACATTAGCCCCTACAACATAAATTCTTTTATTTTTTATATTTTTTGCATAAAGATTTTATTTTTTATATATATTTTATAATCCATAAATAATTATTTTTTATTCATTTATAATTAAAAATAATAATATTCCTTCCAAATTATCGAAAATTATTATCGTTTTACTTGGTCTGATTTCAATCCCAGATCGAAGCAGATCAGACCAGACCAGACCAGAACAGACCATATCGAACCGGAATAATAATAATAATAATAACAACAACAATAATAATAACAATAATTATAATAATAATAACAACAACAACAACAATAATAATAGTAATAATAGTAGTAATAATAATAATAATAAAAATAATAATTAGGGGCGTGCACTATCCGGTTTAAACCGGAAATCCGGACTGAACCGGACCGGAAAAACCGGAACAGGATCGAACCGGAATGATATCCGGTTCGGTTCGGTCCGGTCCGATTTTGAACCGGTGCACAGCCCTCATAATAATAATAATAATAATAATAATAATAATAATAATAATAATAATAATAATAATAAAAATAAAATATGGTCTGGCCTGGCCTGGCCTGGTCTGGTCTGGCCTATTTTAGTCTGGTCTGTTCTGGTCTGGGACGAATTACGGTCCAAGTAAAAACAACCTAAAACCCCAACCAATTAAAACACGTTCTCCAACTCAATTTTGTCTAATGCGTTTAGATCATTTTCATCCTAGTATGATATTTGTTTGGTCGGATTTTGTATGCTAAATCTGGAATGATCTAATTTGGTATGGTTTATTTAATTAAAATTGGTTTATTTTAAATTGGATTGATTTATGTGTGTGCTTGGAAGACATAAGTTTCTACTTTTTAATTTCTTCCAAAAAGCTGATAAAATTTCTGTTTGGTACAACGTTAGCGTTAATTAATCACTACACTTTCTTATACTAAACAAAACTAAATTAAACAGTCAGACACATGTACACCGCAACCTTTTTTATCAAGGATCTTTTCCATCCAACGGTTACCAAATACTCCTCCCTTATTAAACTGTTCGCTACATTTTTCTTTTAAAAACGCTCAATTACTCTAACTTTTTCTATTTCTCACACTCTTTTATAATTTTTCTATACTATTCATCAACCCTGATACTTTTCTTTTTAATTAATGTGTCATACTCTATTGTAGCAAACATTTCAATACGGAAAGAATAAGTCACAAAAGCATGTTTCAGGTACTTGTGTTAAACAGAACCTAAAGGAAATACATCTTCTAACTATGTAATTTTATGAAAAGTTGATGTGGGACATTAATGTTCCAGAATTGCGTTTGTGCTTAAAACATTTCATTTCCGTGTGACTTTTAATTTACAATAATAATTTTTTTTGATCACAAAATGATTTTTTTATAAAGTGAATTTAATTGATTGAGAAATGATCTGGCCAAACCCGTTTGAGGGACTTTTAAGTCGATGTTTTAATGATTTTTTTTTCAGAAAGTTTTTCATGAAGTTTGGATTATGCCTACAAAATTTCCGCTTAAAATTCAATCTGGAAGTCAGCTAAATAAATTATTGAGAAACATTGCGCTTTTTATATGAAGTGTTGGTGCAGTGTTTTTCAATGATTTATTTAATACTTCTCTATTGAATTTTAAGACGAAATTTTGTGACCATAATCTAAACTTCTTATAGAACATTCTCACAAAATTTCATCAAAAAAATCGACTCGGAAGCCCCTCAAACAGGCTTGGCCGTAGGGGACATCCAGACCATTTCTCTATAAATAAAATCGACTTAGTCTTATGATTATTATACTATTCTCACATTACATCCACTGGTGCATAATTATTCTTTCTTGCTCCATCTGCAGTCCCTAAAATTTCAATTATTGTTTCTTGCTCCATTTGTCGTCCCCAAAATTTAGCTCATAGAACTACAGTTGTGCAAGTAACAATAATCTAGATAAAATTTGTATAATGTATGTAGGAACAGAAGTAGAATTTACTCTTGTGTACAATAACCTAGATATAATTAAGAACACAGGTCAATATAATTTGTAATTAAATGCATCTTTTATTGAGACAATTGGTCAATTGAAGGTGATTGGAAGAGAGGCAAGGGCATTGTACAATGAAGGGCAAGCAACAGGGTTGACATTCTGGGCTCCAAACATCAATATATTCAGAGACCCACGATGGGGAAGAGGGCAAGAAACACCCGGTGAAGACCCGCAAGTGACAGGGAAGTATGCCGTGGCATATGTACGAGGAGTACAAGGCGACACTTTCCAAGGCGGGAAGACAGGAAATCATCTTCAAGCCTCTGCTTGTTGCAAACACTTTGCTGCCTATGATATGGAGAACTGGAATGGCAATCTGCGTTATGGATTCAATGCCATTGTAAGTAAACTGATTCTTTAGTTTAAAGAGTATTTTTTATGTGGTTTTCTAATGTGGGATCATGTATTCATGTGCACCATCAATTTTTAGTTTCTTTTTTTCTTAAATGAGTAATGGATTTTATAATTTAGGTATAAGTATTACAGATAATGGTTATAGTAATACAACGGGCCACTCAATATGTGCATCTGTTGAGACGTTTTTATGTGACACCAGGAATGTGAGTGTTTGACACCAACAAATGTCTCTATTCGATGATCACATTTTATGTCTCGTATTTATCATTACGCTTGTAATATCTATATAATTATTTTTTGGAGAATCAGTTTCTCTTACTTATTCATGTTAAAATTTAGTCCATATTTTTAAGTATTTGCAAATGCAGTTCTTTAGTTATTAATATATTGTGGACTCACTCTGTTATATTGTCCGTTAATAAATATAGCAATTCTGTTTAATTGTGCAAATGCCATCCCTAGAATCTGCAAAATGCTGCAATGTTGCCCCTCATTTTTTGCAACTTTTTATTATAGTACATCAACAACAACAAACTCTTTTGGTATTAAGGCTTGGTTGTTGTTATTGTTGTGTTATAGTATCAAAAAACATTAAATTCGAGCCACTATCTTGCGAGCATTTTAAATTGTGTCACACTTGCTATGATATAAAACTTACTTCGTATTCTCTAGATCCTATTTTCTCCCCCCCACTATCTGTATTCTGGTTATCTGGTTTTTCCTTTTTCATACTGTATTTCTCTTTCTATTCAATAAAATACTTTCGTTTAAATAAAAAATAAAAAAATAAAAAAAATAAAACTTACTTCGTATAAAACATTGGCTTAGGCTCTTAAGATGAATTTGTTTTGAAATAGGCAAGCAAAATATGGTAAAGAGCATTGCATTCTGATATGTGTGTGTGTGTGTGTAGGTGACAGAACAAGATTTAGCTGATACATATCAGCCACCATTTCAGAATTGCATACAAAAAGCCCAAGCAAGTGGAATAATGTGTGCTTATAACAGTGTCAATGGGGTCCCTGGCTGTGCTAGTTACAATTTCCTCACCAAAACTGCTCGTCGCCAATGGGGTTTTCGTGGGTATGGGATATAGCAATGGACCTTTTTTATTATTTCAGTTTATTGCTCTCCCAATGTTATTGCTATAACACTTTCCAAATGGTGTGGCATTTTTAGGTATATTACTTCAGATTGTGATGCAGTAGGAAATGTTTTCAAGGACCACAAATATACAAAAACACCAGAAGAAACTGTAGCAAATGTACTTAATGCAGGTATAGTTCGATTGCTTGAAGCCATAACTTCAATAACTCGAAATTTAGTCGCATAGAGTCATAGAGACCGTTTGGTAGACTTTATTTTTAGTTTATCAGCCCCATCAAACAGTTACTTTTTCGGCTGAAATAGCGGATGTTGATATAATCACTTTCTTTAACTTATTTATATAAGATAAGTTGTAAGAGGCATTTGTGTTTGGCACAAAAAAGGACAATTATTATCTTTAGAAGGAAGAAAAAGTAATGTGATTGTAGTCCATAGGAAGTAAAAAGTGAAATGGACAAATGGAAAAGTAGGAAAATAAATAGTTATTGAAGTTTAGATTTGAAAAATTATCACAATTTTGGGACAAAAATAAATCTAACAAAATGGAATAGGAGTAAGGATGTTTTTAATTAGACTGAATTTTCTGGTCATGTCAAGTCCGGTTAGGTAGACGTCTGGTGTGCATGTATCTTACTATTGTCTAAGTTTGATTTGGTCTATTTATATCTGGTTTGGCTTGGTCTATTTAAGTTTAGTTTGGTTTGGGACTGAAACCAATCCAATTAAATATATCCTAAGTACTTTAGGCGATTAAGGGGATTTCGCCTAAGCCTCAACTTGATCAGATTGAGCCACTTCAACCAATTTAAGTCTAACCAAAGGGCTCCATACTCTATTCATAAAAGAATTACATATAAGTATTTATATGAACAAATTCATACACAGGTATGGATGTCAACTGCGGTTCATTTTTGAGTCAATATACAAAATCAGCAGTTACACAGAAAAGAGTTTCAGAAAATCAAATAGACAGAGCTCTACACAACCTCTTCAGCATTCGCATGAGATTGGGACTATTTGATGGAAGCCTTAAACAGCTCCCTTATGGTAACATTCTTTTGAATGAAGTTTGCAGTCAAGAACACCAGATTCTAGCTCTACAAGCAGCAAGAAACGGCATTGTCTTACTGAAGAACAATGCTAAATTGCTTCCTCTGTCAAAGACTAAAACAGCATCCCTCGCTGTTATAGGGCCTAATGGAAACAATGCAAATGTGCTTAAAGGAAATTACTATGGCCCTGGGTGCAAATCTGTAGAAATATTTAAAGCCATGCAGAGTTACGTCAAGTACACGTCATTTCTTGAAGGTTGCAATAATGGAGTGAGTTGTGCTTCTGCTACAATAGATGAAGCGGTAAACTTGGCAAAAAATAGTGATCAGGTGGTTCTAGTGATGGGATTGGATCAAAGTCAAGAAAGGGAAGCGGTAGATCGTGTGCATTTGGAGCTTCCTGGGATGCAAGAGCTTCTCATTACGAAGGTCGCTAAAGCTGCAAAGAAGCCTGTCATATTGGTGTTGCTGTGTGGCGGTCCAGTTGATATTACATTTGCTAAGTTTGACCCTAAAATAGGCAGCATTTTGTGGGCTGGTTATCCAGGTGAAGCGGGAGGCCTTGCACTCGCGGAAACTATATTTGGTGATCACAATCCTGGTAAGAAGCTTCTTAACATTAATTCGCGGTCAATCAATTTTTTTTTTTGCGGGGAGGTCAAAGAATATTTTATTTACTTATATACCATCCTTCGATATAAGTGAAGAACTTTCTAACCTTATTGTATGTACTTAAGTTTGAGACTCATGCTCCAGCATTTATAGATCATATTAGGCTTGATTGAGGGTAAAATAGGCCCATGTACCGGTTGTGAAAGCTCAACTCAGCCAATGAACCAAAAAAAGGTCCAATTCGCACCTTGAACCGGCAAAAAATGGTTCAAATTTCATTTTTTACATGTAAACAACCGGTCACCCGCCATGTCACCGGTCTGATTGCCACATGTGCATCAAATCACCCCCTAAACTATTAAAAAGTGTCAGTTGTACTAGTAATAAATTATAAATAAAAATAGAAAAAATAAAAAAATTAATAAATATTATTATAAAAAATTAAAAAAAAATGAAACTTAAGTTTAATTTTGAACTTTATATCCATACTTTATATCTATGTTTTTACATCAATATTTTATTTAAGAATTCATTTTTATTTTAATTTTTTATTTTTATGTTATTATATATTATTAATATGAAAATAACGCCATTCTTATTTGAGAATATTTGCTATGTTTTATTCCTACTTAAGAATTTTTTCTTTAGAGTTTTAGTTTTGTCCTTACATTTATATTTCACATTTCACTAGATTTTTAACATCTTTTCCTATTTATTTTATTTTGTATAAGATAGATAAACAATCATATATGTTTTAAGTTATACAAAATATTTCCGGATTGAAATTTTACATTTTTTATTCTATTAACTTTTTTGAAGTACTATAAATTCCTATTTTATATTTCATACTTTTTAATTAAAAACCTACGAAATGATAAAAATATAATAACATAACATAAAACATTAAAATATTAATAAAATCTTAAATAAAATATTGATGTAAAAACATTCTCCGTATATATATATATAAAGTATGAATATAAAGTCTAAAATAAAACTTAAGTTTCATATTTATATTTTTTTAATTTTTTTATTTTTTTTTATTTTTAATTTTTAATTTGTTACAAATTTGACACTATTTAATAGTTTAGGGTGTGATTTGATCAACTGTGACGGGTTTAGCCATTTAGGGGCTAATTTTAGCTATTAGTTTCAACTTCAGATGCACATGTGGCACTCATACTGGTGACGTGACGGGTGATTGGTTCGTTGCCGGTTTGAGGTGCGAATTGGAGCTTTGTTTAGTTTAGGAGCTCAATTGAGCTTACACGACCTGTACAAGGGCCTATTTAACCCTTTAGCCTTTAATTAAAACACAGGTAAGATGATATTTGCGAAATTTAATCAACCATTTCCGAATTTTCAAAATAACAAAATGGGTTTTCCTAAATTATTACTCCGTACTAAAATACAACTCATGTATCACTGCAGCTGCTGCGAGAATACCAGTGTGGTAATTCCAGTGTAAAACTAAACATTATCACTGTGACTGCATTTATCATGATGGTCACCGCGTATTAAGCCACTTTTATATTCAGTAGTTTTATTTTGGTCATATGTTCGTCATTATTTCATATAAAAAGAAGCAACTGTATATATAAATAAAACTTGGGACACATGCACAAATAAAAGTACTCTTGTTTCATAAAACAGGACTCATTCATTCATAAAAATTGAATAAAAGTATTTAACATTTTTAGGGACTTGAATGAGTCCTATTTTCAGAAAAACATAGTGATGGTTGTCTTTAATAAAATGCATTATATTTTAATAATGTGTAGACAACTATAATTTGTAGACAACTAGACATAAAGAAATGACACATAGTAGGTAAAGTTGAATCATGTGATCAATATATTAACTTTAAAGTATGAGCTAAATTATAGGACAAACATAATGGGATGGACAAAAATGGAAACATGAGACAAAGGAGTACTATATATATTGAATTTTGCCTATAAAGAAAGTCTCATTTTGTTATTGTGATTCGCTTGCAGGAGGAAGACTACCAATGACATGGTACCCTAAAGATTACATTAAAGTTCCAATGACAGATATGAGGATGAGGGCTGATAAATCTAGAGGGTACCCAGGTCGTACATATAGGTTCTACTATGGTCCTACAGTATTCAAATTTGGCTACGGTCTTAGCTACACAACATATTCTTATGAGTTCACTTCCACTACAACAACCTTGGTAAACCTGAACCAACTATCAAGTGTGAAAACATATGCGGGATTCGATTCTGTCCATTACATATCAGTGGATGATATTGACAAAGAGACATGTGAGAAGGCAAAGTTCCCAGTCACTATTCGAGTTCAAAACTCTTGGGAAATGGATGGGGTTCACCCGGTGCTACTTTTCATCAAGCCTACCACAGAGAAAGATGGAAGTCCAATGAAACAGTTGGTTGGGTTTCAAAGTGCAAAACTAAAAGCTGGTGAAAAGGATGAACTTCAGTTTGAGCTCAACCCTTGTCAACATCTGAGCACTGCCAATAAGGATGGGTTGATGGTGATTGAAGAGGGTTCTCGGCATTTAGTAGTAGGAAACACAGAACACGCTATTAACGTAGTTTTTTGAATGGTAGTATCTAATCACTAGAGATGAAACTGATATTTTGTTTGTTGTAACTTTAAGTGTGTTCACTTCTGGTGAATACACAGCTTTTTTTTCCAGTTAAAAACAGTGGAGAATGCTTCCACTTCATTTGATGTACCACAACTTATGTGTAGTTTTGGAGGGGTTTAAAGCTTCTTTAGGCCCTAAAAGCTGCTGAGAAAAAAGGCGAGGGGATGTTATCCATATTTATCCTCCATTACGTATGTCTCATGTAATATCCTAGAGAAAATATACAAAAATGATATTTTGATCTTTTTGGAGGTGGTGCGTTGTTGGCGGCTGCCTGCTGGGTAGATCATGCCATCTTTTCTGCTCATCTTATTTTAATGAGTTTTTTCCTAAGATATTAATAATAAAAAAGACATAGATAAAAATGTGATTTAGTAATTTTTAGTGACTATAATTGTGTTTAAAGTTTACATCATAGTCACTACGTCATAGTAGTTTTGAGTACAATATAGTCACTAAAAGTGATCAAGTTACATTTTTGTCCACTTTTTTAGAATAATTTATGTGGTATTTCCCCTATTTTAAATTTTAATTGCTTATATTATCATGGAAAAAACTTACAATGATAACATATGACTAATTATAATAATAGTTTAGTGCTTATTGTACAAATATTTGTAAGATACATCTTTACACTATTTGTATTGCATATTAACATTCAAAGTTTTAGCATACTCCCTCCGTCACAGAAACAATGTCATAGTTTGACTTCGCACATATTAAGGAAATAAATTTGACAACACATTGTAGCGACAATGTTTGATATAGATTTGTATACCAAATAAGAAAGTTAAGGAAGTAGCACTTTAATTTATGGACTTTCATTTTGGAAAAGTAGGACATTGTTTCAGAAACGGAGGGGGTATTATTTTGCAATGAGAAAAGCAGTTGCATATTAACATTCAAAGTGTTGTGTCCAAAAAATGTTTGGTTTTATTACTAAAATGTCACCGTGCATCTATACCCTTTAGATCAACTCATCAGATGATCAAGTTGAGTTTGTAAATTAAGAGGGGTTTGTGTTTGAACTTTTATCAGCATAGTATAATAACATTATCTTTTTAAATATTCATAGCAAGAACATATACGTTTACATTTATAATGACATATAAATACGTATTTATTAAATGCAGATTCACCTAGAAGAAGGAGCTGCCTCTTAGAGTTTAGAGAAAGGCTTTGGATCCGCCGTTCTCTCTTTCTCTATGGAGGTCTTCGTTTAGTCCGTGTCACGGTGTTAAGGAGGTCTTTCTCTTGCTTGTCGAGAGCTAGGGATTTCTCTCGAGTGTCGAGAGTAGTGCAATGTTGCACTTCTGTGGATCAATTTTTTTTTTTTGCTATTTGATCGAGTGCAGGTTCAAGATAGGATAAGCATGACTTCATTGGATGATCTAGAGCAGCGTTGTCCCATTCCAGCAATTGAGGAGGAGGTTGAAGGGTTGGTTTTTGGCAGCTGAACATGGATGGAGGGTTCGCACATATTAAGGACCAGTCCGTTGGGCATTGAATCGTCCATAAACTGTCCATTTAACGCAGCATTAAAAGATAAGATAAACGTCCGAGGGGTTCTGTTCAAGGCCTTCTGTCCGGAGCACTTCTGGGAAAAGATAAACGGTCCGTTATCTTTTGCACGGGCCTCATCGGCACATGCCACAAGCAGACGATGAGCGGTGAAGGGCTGAGCAAGGGAGTAGGCGATCAGCGGTCCGACCCCCAAATTCGAAATGAGCATGATGGGCGAATTAAACTTCTTCCTTGATTTGCAAGTTAGACAATTACCGCACGAAATCTTAATCAATCAATCAAAGTACAGTTTGGACATGCTGAAAAGATTCAAAATAGACAAGAAACCTTTCTTGAGAACCCCCATGACCCCCAACAATAAGCTTGACTCAGACCTTACAGGGCAACCGGTCAATGCTACTCATTATCAGGCCATCGGATCGTTGCTATATCTTATCTCTAGCAAGCCTGACATTGTGTTTGCGACATGCTTATGTGCTTATTTTCAGGCAAATCCGAAGGAATCCCACTTAACAACTGTAAAAAGAATTTTGAGATATCTAAAGGGCACAGTCAACCTGAGCCTCTCGTATCCCAAGAATTCAGGTTTTCACCTCATTGGGTATTGAGATGCTGACTTTGCCAGATCTAGATTGGACCGCAAGAGTACATTGGGAAGCGCTCAATTTTTTTGGAGAAAAACCAGTCAAACAGTCGAAGCAGAATACGTTGCGACTGCTAGTTGTTGTTCACAAATCATATGGACGAGGACTCAACTCAAAGACTACAGGTTCACATTCAACCACATCACGATCTACAGTGATTCTCTGAGTGCAATAGCCATAACCAGCAACCCTGTCCACCACTTTCGCACAACACACATCGATTTGCGCTATCAAGGACCACATTGAAAAATGAGACATTGATCTGTACTATGTGAGCTCAGAGCTTCAACTGGCTGACTTATTCATTAAGGCTCTGGATGAAAAACGATTCCAGTTCCTAGTATCTAAGATGTGCATGTTGAACCTCGAACCCAATCAATTTGAATCTGACTGATCCAAAACAAAAGTGTGTGTGTTACATGTGTTGAGGGGGAGTATATTTTCAAAAATATAAAAAAAATGAATTTTGTGTGTTTTTTTTTCATGCATCATTTGAGGGGAGTTTTTATCTGTACAGGACTGTATGTAAATACAGTGTGTGAGTCTTTTCATTTTTTTCGCATACTCTAAGTTTGAATTTTTTTTCTCACATATATAAGGGACGTTCAAAAATCTAGTTCTCGCACTTCACTTCATATTCACAAAATTTTTTCGCATTCGAGAGCTAGACACTTCATCTTCCTCCTCGTTTTTCCTTGAACTTCATCAATTCTCTTAAAGGTAGTTTTCAGAGATCAAACTTCATGATAGGGTTCAAAAAAGTGGTCTGACAACGTTTCTCTTGAAAAGGCTTCGAGAAAGAATTCTCGATACTTTGGTTCGAAAAAGATTCTCGAAGTTAGGGTTCGAAAAACTTTTGAAATTTTCATTAAAAATCATTTTGATGTTTTTTGCAGGAATTAGCTTTCACAGGTGCAAAGGCAACTTCGAGAAATCATTTTCCGAACTTTCGATGTTGAGAAAAATTCTCGTTGTTTCAACTTCGAGAAAACTTCTCGATGTTTAAACTTCGAGAAAATTTGTCGATGTTTAAACTTCGAGAAAGTTTCTCGTTGTTTAAGCTTCGAGAAAATTTCTCGATGTTTAAACTTCAAGAAAGTTTCTCGATGTTTAAACTTCGAGAAAGTTTCTCGATGTTTAAATATCGAGAAAGTTTCTCGATGTTTTACACTTAGCAATTTTTTCGAAGTTCTGCCTTTGCCAATTCTTTTGAAAAAACCCTGCTATATAACTTTAAACTGTACATATGCCAACCCAAATGTCAGCAGCTCACCAAAGAAGTATACTCATTTGTGTATGTTCATTCCTTTTAAGCGTATACTCATTTGAGTTTAATATAAACTCATTCGAGATTCGTCAACAAAGAAGTATGACTCCATTTAGCAATATATTGAACTCAAACCCGGTCTCCTAAATCATCGCTCAATCTGCCGTCTCCGTACTTCTTCTTCTCGCAGCATCGACCAACAAAGAAGATTCACAGGAGCCACCGTCTCTTGCGCAACAGGAGGACGTTCATGCTTGAGGAGAAGAGAGCGGTGACGAGGAGCAGCCTGTCTGGTGAGAAATCAGATCGAAGAAGCCAAGCGAGATCGAAGAAGCAGGTGTGAAGTCCGATGCAAAGCCAGATCAGAGAAGTCCCTATGCGAAGCCAAGAAGCACAGAAGGCTAAAAAAGCCAGGTTACACCGTGCGCACGGTACAACCTGTTGTACGCTATATTTTACCACTGTTATTACGCTACAACGTTTTGCTGGATAATTTCTAATTAAGACCGACATGTTGTATCTAAGACTTATGATATTGCGGAATTATAAACATTTACCATTTTGACTAGGTGACTATTATATATATATATATATATATATATATATATATATATATATCATATAGATACAATATATATATATATATATATATATATATATCATATAGATACAATATATATATATATATATATATATATATTGTATCTATATGATATATATATATATATATATATATATATATATATATATATAGAGAGAGAGAGAGAGAGAGAGAGAGAGAGAGAGAGAGAGAGAGAGAAATTCTCAGGTCCACCTCCTGGTCCGAATGCCATCCGAACACCACCGTTTGGGGCGGTTCCCGGTGGAATTTTTTGATGAAATATTTTGAGCATGTTTCCCATCACGTCTAGTTTATCCATACCAAATTTAAGCTCAAAATTCGATCGGGAAGGCAGTCAAATAATTCGTTGCAGTTAACTGCGTTTTCTATGTATAATTTGGCGCAGTTAACTTCAACGAATTATTTGACTACCTTCCTTATAGAATTTTGAGCTGAAATTTGGTATGAATAAACTAGACTTGATGAGGAACATGCTCAAAACATTTCATCAAAAAATTTCGCCGAAAACCTCCTCAAACGGCGGTGTTCAGACGGAATTCGGATAGAAAAGTGCTGGACAGGAGAATGACTCATATATATATATATATATATATATATATATATGATGGAGTATATGGCCCAGGGACCCCCGGCCCACATACTTCCACTATTACAATTGAGCCCAACAGGCTCAAGCGGGCCAAGCCCAGCAAGATGGAGCTCTAAGCAGCCCACAATACATAAAGGGGTGCCTTCGGCCCCATGGCCGAAGGCTACCAGTGACAGAATCGGGCTCAGAAACACCACAGGAGAACAAGGCTTAAAAACCAAGCCTTCGGCACTAGGAACCCTCGGTACTAGGAAGCCTCCGGTACGAAGAGCCTTCAGCCCGTCATCTACAGCTGGAGGCATCTTCCTCGACAGAATCTCCTCTCCACATGCGCTGAATCGCCGTACCAAGTACAAACGTCACATCCAACCACCGCTGTTAATGTGGCCACATGCGAGTGCCAGTGCCACCCCGGTTGAGGTGACCCCTCGACCACCAGAATGCTGACACATGTCCCTATCTAGCATTAATTGCTGCTATAAATAGAAGCCCATTTCCCCATTGTATACAACAAGTTCACATATTCGAATACATTCTCTCTCTTACTTATTTGCTATGACTTCTCTCTAGTTATTCCCCACAATAACCCCTCGGATAAGCTACCC